GCACGGCGACCGATGACCAATATATACCTTGTGTACTTCTGCATTCATGATTTCAATGTATCGTAGCTATGATGGCAGCTGGGAATTTAATATAGCCTAACCTAACCCAATCTACTCTACCTAATCAGTGAATTAAGTTAGGTTAGGGTAAAGTGATATTCTGGTCGCCGTCAGGCGACCAGACACACATACTGAGATTCAAAATCATGAAAATTAGTTAAATTTAATTTTTAAGCCCACCTGTTATATATGAATATATATATTGGTGTCGGTCACCGTGCTGCTGCCTGCAAAAACAATAGAAAAGCGGCGATCGCACACTGACGCGTAAGAAGTACACGGACGCACACGAACAGGCAGAATTCAATGTATTAGTTTCGACAGTTTTTTGAAAATATCTCGAAAACTAACGCCGAGCGGCGGTTATATGTATAGGAAAAAGTTGTTCAAAATGTTGATTTCTACAACATATTCAAAAATCATCGAAATCGGAGTTACTGTCCGTAATCTAAATAATTACCAAAGAAACTTATACAGATACATATTGTTGAGCTACATTTCATTTTGTGTAATACAAGAGAATAAACACTTATCAAAGGAACGTACAAGGTGTTGAGATTAATTACGCTGATTCTCTACCACGTGTCGTCAAAATTCCTTACACTTTACTGTTTCTACGCAGTTAACCTGGGGAAGTCCCGAAATGCGAAGCACTGGCTAACTGCGTAGCGCTGGTATTTACGATACCTCTCCCTCGAGCGAACTCGTGTTTTTCTACATGCTGTTTCTATTGTACTACGCAGTTGAGCGACGACGATAATTTCAAGGACGGTTACCAGTACTATTTGAAAGAAAAAGAAAATAAGAATAACCTTCCTCGTGTACCGTGCATGGGAAGTCCCGAAACCCGTGAAGGCTTGACAAAGTACACAAGGTTAGGAGAGGATAGAGAAATTAGAGAAAGAATAGTTAAAGTTACAAAACGAAAAGCGAAACAGAATAATTATACGCTCAAACACTTCCTTGTACGTCCTCACATGGGGAGTCCCGAAACCAGAAGGTTTGATGAGGAAGCACAAGGTCGAGGAGTAAATGGGAAAATTGGCGAAAAAAAGTAAAATATCTTTCTCACGCCCTTTACGGAACGTGAGGTGGACAAATTTTAAATTTTCCGCCGGGACGTGACACCACCACGAAGTCTTATACTTCCTTATGACCAATTACGGTGATGAGGATAATAATTTGATTGTCTTATGCTAAATACGAGATTATATTATGATTAAAAGTCGGATACAATTATCTATGTAATTGTGAAACAATATGGCACGACACTTGTCGAAGACTCGAGAGGTCCCGTTTACTGAAATTGTAAGTTATTTTCGATGACTCGAATAAGACAGTTTGAGAACTAATCGTTTAAGGGGTATCACTCTGAGCGCTAAAAAATTAAGGTCTATTTTAATGAATTATTGTGAGCAAACGGTACAAGATATCGATATCTGTTTTTTTTTTACGTTATAATACATGTTTCGGTGTATATAAAAAAAATTTTCAATGGCTACTTAAAAACAAAATAGCTGCTCCATAGTGCTTGAATAGAAACAATATGTATCTTCACGGCTAGACAATTTTCTGCGATCCATCAATGTCAGGACAAAAAATTCCAAAAGTTTATGAAAGTAGGTAAGATTCGCCAGCAAAATACGATGAACTTTTTTGATTGGTTTTCAAGTTTCCATTTTATACGCATTTTTCGGCTGATTCTTTTATGAAAAAAAAAATTTGTCCTTCAATATCACACCATTTTACGAAAAATTGATATTTCTGAAAAATCCTATGTACTTTGCTGGCGAATCTTATCTACTTTCATAAACTTTTGGAATTTTTTGTCCAGACACTGATGGATCGCAGAAAATTGTCCAGCCGTGAAGATACATATTGATTCTATTCAATCACTATGGAGCCGCCATTTTATTTTTAAGTAGCCATTGAAAATTTTTTATATATACACCGAAACATGTATTGTATTATAACGTTAAAAAAAAACAGATATCGATATCTTGTACCGTTTACTTCAGAGCTCGGCAAGATTTGCACTTTTCAGCCGATTTTCAGCTGGCTCCGCCTACCGCTATTCACCTTGCCGCGACGTTCAACGCACAGCCAACGAACCGTTCGACGCTCAGGAGTGTATCACTCGTAAACATATGCTGGCAACCACTTAAAAAAAAACGCATCGACAATAGTACCTCGCGGGTGAGGTGGAAAGCTATTACCAGCATACGTTTACGAGTGATACGCTCCTGAGCCTCGAACGGTTCGTAGGCTGCGCGTTAAACGTCGCGGCAAGGGGAATAGCGGTAGGCGGAGCCAACTGAAAATCGGCTGAAAAGTGCAAATCTTGCCGAGCTCTGGTTTACTTACAATAATTCATTAAAATAAACCTTAATTTTTTAATGTCCGTGTCAAAAATGTCCAGCAAGAAGCCGCAAGGATATAGTCCGACGAGGTAGGCGTTGTCCAAAAGGGCCAATTAGTAAACGTTTTGAGTTTAGCAGCTAAACTTTAGCTAATCGCGATAGGCTGAACTGTTCAACAAATCAGCTCGCCGGACATTTTCCATGCAAGCTGCCGGAAAACCGAGCAGGCTGTGATGCACGTGGAAGTCGCCAATGTTTACGACTGGAACCGGCAGTGACCCAGGCGCGAGCGACAGGCGGCTCAAGACTCTTAAGCCTCGTACTGACCTAAGCATTTGGACGCTGAAATCGTTCGTTCGAGCAAAAATGCTCAAGTGAGTACGGCCCGTTAATGTGTTCGCGAAGGCCCAGAGCACAAACGAACGCTTTTCGACGGCTGTCGGTCCATCAAAGGATATTCGTGCCAACTATCTTACTGTGCCGGTTACAAATTTCCAAGTACCGTTAGTCGACCGCTGTCGAATTTACCCTTCGGAAAAACTCAGTTTATGATATGGCCTGATGAACCGTCATAAACTGATTTTTGAAATCCGACATGTGCAATTGTTGATATTAATTGTTTGGACACTTTAAACAGATATTGAAGACTCGTATATGAATCTCCCGTTGCTAAAAAACGTGGCGTTATCGCTAAGCGTTCTTTCACCGTCACAGCTTTTCTGAATCAGGTGTCGTTTTTTTGAATTTTGGGACCGATAGCGTTTATTAAAAATTCAAAATCTTCCGATGACATCCGCACAAAATTTTTAAAATGTCCACTAGCTTCTATCTGTAAATCTCTAACTAGTTTTTCACCACTAGAGGTTGCTCTATTTTTGTACATCTGACTAATCCACCATCATTTATCTTGATTTTTTCTTCTTCTTTTTCTTTTAATTATTGTATTCATAACAATATACGCTGCACTGGCGATCGTGACATCTGTTCCTGTTGACATTCTGTCTTCGACTGGTTTACGGTAGAAAGAACCTTTCTACATAGAATCCAGATACAAAAGTTTACGGTACCCCAGGTAGAAAGATTTGCGCGAACAGCCGGAGAAATTTCACGTTCGTTCGCCGAGAGCATTCGTTTGGGCAAAATACACAAGTCAGTACGATGCTTTACGGTTGGGCTGTACCTTTGAGGTACTTATGTGGTCATATGACCGGTGGGGCTGGTTATGCAGCTTAGATGGTTCCGGACCCCTGATAGGGATTTGTACTGACTTCATTGTTCGTGCATCACAGGAGGTCTTGTTTATGACACGGAATTGAAAGTCGTGATAAGGCCATGATAAGCCTTCGTTAAGGCCAGCTAGGTTAATGTAGAAAAGGTGAAAGTACCTGTAAAAGATTGTAAACCGCTTGTCACGAGTCTTGTGGGCAATACGAGTTTCAAAATAAACGTTATAAGTTTATAGAATCTTGTCCTTAGAAATTTTATTTATTGTTAGAAGATTTCTAAGCTTTGAATGGCAATTGCTTTAATACGTGACAAACTACGACTCCGACGAGGTTAGAAGATTTTTTTGTGATTATGAGATATTATCGAACGTAAACGATCGTGCTTCTAAATTAGTGTAATAAACTGCTACATTCGCAATGCCGCGAAACACAAATTATGCTTCGTACGCGACTGATTTAATTGTTGACGAAGATTTAATTTAGTCTGAACTTTGTATCTCATTTATAGACATCAGTTTAAACGACGTTCTATCTGCGATAAGTCATCTCAGAGATTATTAAACTTCTGGCGAAGACGAACCTTCTGTCTCTATCTTCAAACAGTGCAAAGGGTATAGCCGGATAAGATGGTAAAAAGTGCCCCAAACCAAATTCGACTTGCAATGGCTCATTCGATAGCTTATCAAGGAAAAATAATCTGTGTTAAGTCTCAGCTCTGTATCTCATCTGGCGGGGGGGGTTAGTAATAGGCAAAAATGTAAAACACACATTTTGGTCAATTTCTCCTATATTTGTGGACGAAAAATTCTGAAAAAAATCAAATATTTCTATTCATGAGGCACATATTGTACTAGTTTTGCAGATTTGTATTCTCAATTTGTTTGAGAATTTTTGGTCAGGTGCGCCATAGTTAAAAAAATTGAAAACCAAGTTTTTCGCTGTTTTTTGCGTGTCAGAGTTACTTGTACGGCGAATTTTCGTCTGTTCTTTATCACATAAGTGTGTTATACAATGTTCAATGTTTTTACGTACAGTGAAACGGAATAAGAATTTAAAAAACTAAATAAACTAGAATTATTGAAAGTACTTTATGTGAGTTATATCTCAAAAGATCGAAAGGTTTTTCAACGGTGTCGGTGGTCCAACGGTTCAGACGCCTGACTGCTAAACCGCTGTTAGGGTTTTCGTAGGTTCGAGTCTGCATAAATATGAAATAAAGAATATTTTTATTCAAAGTGTCCAGAATTAATTCCACCAGTGTAAGTTATATCAACACTTGTATAACTTCCCCTTCTTGAGGTAACAGCAAATTATTATTACCAATCACATGAGATCTTGATTATAACGTCTGATTTTCAGAAGACGTGGCACGGTTTGTTGCTCATGTATCAGTTGAGATTCAAGTGTTATGTACAGCAACTTTTACGAAGATCCTACAGTTCCTTTGCCTATAGTGAGTTAACACTACAACTATCGACGTTTGATGCACACTTATTTTTAAGTTGAAAATAATGTAGCTAACTAAATAGATAAAAGATAAAACATAATTTAATATATCCATTTCAACAAAAATACCTCGATAAGTAAGGTATAATATAATTTAAAATAAGAAACTGGAAACCAGTCATTTTGACCCCTCTGGTAATTCTAGTATTAATAGCTTGTGAATACTACATATTGAAACAGTGGTGCAAATAGATGTGTGTATAGGATTATATTATGAATTGCTTACTCATGGCGAATCAGAGAGAATTGTAATCTACTTACATAACAATCAACTTAATTTACCTACTTTTCAATTACTGAAGTATACAATAAATGAAGGAACTATACATACAATTCTTTTTCTTACATCTATTTATAGTTACACTTTGCTTACATTGACATTGATAACTATTATACTTACATAATATGTTAAACATACTTGTACATTTTTGTTCATGTCTTATGGTTTCACATTTTCTCATGTTATTAACTCACATGTTTACATATCTATAGAGTTAGGCATATTTACAAATAATAAATAATACATTAATTGCAAATAATGAATAATTTATCACTCGAATTGAAATTATTAATGCAACAAAGTTTTTTGAGAATGACGAATCATCTTTTATTTGAGTAATGTAAATGACCAATTTAAATAATAATATAACAAAATCCGTCATTCTCAAACAACTTATATTGATTTTTAATACATAGATGCTACTGTGCTATACTTGCAATTTTTATGGGTTCTTTATTCAGGAATTTCTTATTGTTAGATGTAAAAGCAATGTCTTTTAAACAACATGTACTGTCATCTACACTTGAACACATAAACTATAGATTTTATTTTGATATGTTCAAATATGATCCTGTGATAGCATTTAAAAGTTAATGTTTCAGAAATTAATAAATAATTTAAATTAATTTCGGTATAAAGGAATAAATTATATATTAACTTATTTTCTTGTATATTTTTTAAGTATTAAAATTCTTCGTTTTGTATAATTATTCCTATTTGACATAATAACTATCATAGAAATCACCAAAAACTTGTATATACAAATAATGCCAATTGTTAGAATCATTTTAAGTTTGCTTTTTGCTACGATTCCAAATTAGCAGCTTTTTTAATTAAATGCCACCTTGTATGTACTAACCGAGCTAAGCTCGTTACGTTTTAGGTTCTTAGATAGGAACCTTATATTTCCGTCCCCGTGTCCGTGCGTCCGGCGTCGCATTTTATACCGTAGCAACTATAATACATATGCTAGAGATACAAAGGATATAGCCGGATAAGGGGGTGAAATGTGCCTTTAGACCAAATTGATCAATGACCATATCAATTAATAGACCGTTCAAAGAAAATCATTTGTGCCAAGCATGAAACTGCTACCCTTACTTGAAGGGTAGTTACAGGGATCCGCACCGGCTCAATCTTTGTTTTTTGAAAATTAATTTTTTCAAGCTTCTAAGTATATGATAATCGTTAATATACTTGTTTACAAATGTTCCAATAATATTTTTTTAATATTTTAATCTGTAATATATATAAATACCATTTTGGAGTACTTTCTATTCTACCGTTTCTCTTGTCATGTATTTTGTCAGTTACAGTATTGTTTAGTATTTGTCATTATTTTTAACAATTCTGGATAAGTAGTCGCGATATATGTAAGCTGATCCGACCTTGTTTACTTTTAAAACCACGTGCCAATGTCAGCTATCTAGGAACCCACGGAGTTTATGCGAACACCTGGCGTGGATTATATATATATGTATATGTAGGCTGATCCGACCTTGTTTACTGTTAAAACCAGGTGCCAAAATCCACTTATTCACTATATATATATATATATATTTTACACTCTTCGCGGATCAATCTTCACCGACGCAGGTGCAAAACCGTGCGTCTAGAGATAGAGTTGTCGATTGAAAATCGCGATAATTAGCTGCTCGGTAAAGTCCTACTATATATACAGAGCTCTTATTCCGTAACTATTAATGATACAAAAAATTGTTGATATGGAAATTGCACGGGAAAAGGGGGTCTATATTTTGGTCGAAGTGAAAAATCTTTTGCATTATTAGTTTAAAAGATATGATGGACAAGTTTTGCTTTTTAAATGGAACCGTATATTTTTTGTCAGATCATGTAATAGTGCTTCTCAAGACGAATTCATTAAGCTATAATGTATACACTCGATTTTAATTAGTTTTCAGGATATAACGTTTACAAATTTCCCGATTTTCAGTAGATACCTCTCGGTTTGAGTGGCAAGTCGTAAAAGCGGCCCTATTGTTACGGTTTCTTATTCTTTGGATCTGCCGGTCCTAGTGTAGACCTCTGCTGTGGCACTTACCGTAACAATAGGGCTGCTTTTTCGACTTGCCACTCAAACCGAGAGGTATCTACTGAAAATCGGGAAATTTGTAAACGTTATATCCTGAAAACTAATTAAAATCGAGTGTATACATTATAGCTTAATGAATTCGTCTTGAGAAGCACTATTACATGATCTGACAAAAAATATACGGTTCCATTTAAAAAGCAAAACTTGTCCATCATATCTCTTAAACTAATAATGCAAAAGATTTTTCACTTCGACCAAAATATAGACCCCCTTTTCCCGTGCAATTTCCATATCAACAATTTTTTGTATCATTAATAGTTACGGAATAAGAGCTCTATATCTGTTTAAGTGAGACTCCCTGTATATGTATATATATATACATATATGTGTATACAGGGTGAGGAAAAAGTCCGGGACCGGTGAAATATCTCGAAAACAAAGCATTTTAGGAAAAAATATTTGGTACATAAGTTGTAGGGTTTCAGTAGATGCATCAAGCGGTGGTACGTATTTGACCTTGAGTGTAAGTATGGAGGAGCTATCGAGGTCAAGTTCAAAATTTTAAATGGAAACCCCCACTTTTTATTTAATATTCTTGTAGCTGACATCAAAACACTACCCATGAGCTTCTTTCGGTGGAGTACTTTTCGAGATATGAGTCGATAAAGTTCAAGTACTGCCGACATTAGCAGTAGCCAAGTTATATATATATATATATGTGTCTGTAAGCTGGTCCGACCTTGTTTACTTATAAAACCAGGTGCCCCAAAATCCACTTATTCACTATATATACATATACATATATATATATATATATATATATATACGTACATATACATACATACATACGTATATACATGTGTATATACCGGGTGATTCACGAGAAACAGAACACCTAATTATTTCCGTTCGGTTTAAAGATAGAAGAAAATGTTAAAGAAAAAAGTTGTACTGTTTAAGGAGACAAATATGGGGATATAAACAAAATTTCCGATTGTTATCGTTTTCAAGGTCTTTTGAAGGTCATCGATGATTTTTAGATTGCACCATATATTTTTAACATCATAGGGTTGTAGCTGATGTCAAGACGAGTACAACGATATGGTACACTATGACCTTCAAATGACCCTGAACTGAATCATAGGTTCTATTCTGTCTGATCAATGATTCCAAGTCACTGGATAGAACGTAATGGACACATATCATAGCCAGCTCGTTTACCCGTTTTAACGCCTCTTGATTTTTTTTGATGGGGAACACTGAAAGATGATGTGTATCGTGATCAATCAAGTACACCAGAGAACATGCAAGAAAGAATAATTAGATCTTGTAGATCAATTTCAACAGAAACGATTGAAGGGGCAATTAATTGCCTTGCAGGACGTTTAAATGCTTGCGTCATTGCTCAAAGTCATCATTTTGAACATTTAATTTAAATAAATTGATTACAAAGTTTGCAGTTATCAATGCTTTATCATAAATTTCTTATTTCAAGGTCATTTGAAGGTCATAGTGTACCACATCGTTGTACTCGTCTTGACATCAGTTACAACTCTATGATGTTAAAAATATATGGTGCAGTCTAAAAATCATCGATGACCTTCAAAAGACCTTGAAAACGACAACACGGGTCCCTCCTTGAATCTGTATGCGATGGTAGGCGTGTTTTAACTGAAAAGTGTGAGGCGTGTTTGAAATAAATTTTGAAACTGTTTAGGTAAATGAAACTGGTTTAATTTTGAATGAAAAAGTCCAATGAATAACAAAATACAAGAAATGCCAAAATTAAGATTTGAATAAATTTGGAAAATTCGTTAATATTGAAAACACCAGTTCATGCAAAATAATAACAAGGATAAAGATGCTTAGAATTAATTAACAAAAATATGATAATATGAAAACGCTCTGATATCACAATTGAAACTATTGAGTAATATACCGGTCGCATGAGATGATTATCATTATTTCGTTTTCCTTCAACCAAAATTTGATTAGACGTGAAATCGGCGGTTTTCGCCCGTGAGGGTACCCAGCCTGAGGTACTCTCGTAACCCTCGAAAGGGCTGGACTAAGGTGCCCCCTTGATAATAGGAAGTTAGAATGGCAAAATTGTAATACCCGAAAAATAATAGAGTCAGTCGATACCTCGTGTGGTGGAACGATCTGACCTGAGATACTCTCGTAACCCTCGAAAGGGCTGGGCCAGATCGCCCGTTTTGCCAGTTGAAATAAACGTCGTGTTCGAAAAATGGTAATAGGATCGACTTACCGATACGCTGTACAGTAAAACCTGGATAAATTCAACGAAAGAATGCTTGGATAAATGAAACATCGCTATCCCCTCCACTTGGGGGGATCCCCCTAGGCGAACCGAGCCGCTCGACGAGGAAACCGTGTAATATGATCCGACCGTAATATCCGTGTGACTAATACTAATTCAACGATAAAAGTTTTTTATTTTTAACTTTTTCTCAATGAAACTGTTACTAATGCATTTGTGAGATTTTTCTGATTAAAATGATACCAAACTCGATATAGGTTGAATTATATTTATAAACAATAGTAATAGAATAAGCAACATAGAATTGAGACCACGACTGAATATAAATGATGT